AAACCTGTGCAATATTATTATGAATTTTTTTCCAATGACAAAAAAAAATTTTATTAGTAAAATCACATTTTAATTTAAAAAATATTTTTAACAATTTTTTATAAGCGAGTTGTATTAATTGAAGCATTTTATCCAAAGTAAAACATTGCTGGGCAACATGCTATTATATAATTTTGCCGTTGCGAAAAAAAAAATCTGCTTAAAATATTTTATATTTAATAAAAACATGCATGCTTTTGCTGTATTAGTATATATTATGGAATATAGTGATCATGTGTTGCGAGTGAAGTGAGTTTTTTAATATACCCTGAGACGTTGTAAACAACGGCAAGTCGCTTTACAGATATTTTAGCATAGCAGATCTATTGATATTAAAGTTGACCTTACCAACTATTTTCTTTTTATTTTTTTATTATAAAATACAATAAACTCTAAAATATTGTCAATTGAAAAGTCTAGATGATTTTAGTTAGTCATAACCTCCATACATTGTCCAACCGCAGCACTTGAAGTTATGCTGGAGCTCACACCGCTGCATCTAGTGATCAAACATATCTTCTGCTCATGGCCCCGGAGGGTTTTGACAAAGGGAATATATGTCGCCTGAACAGAACAGAACAGAGAAGGCGGAGTGGACTGACTCAAGCACCTACTACTACGAAACGGTAGCACTATCCAGTTTTAGACTGACGGTTCGAAAAGCAAGTATTGGAGCAGGCATTGCAGGACCGCATACCAAACTATCCATACCAACGAGGCGTTTTCCGAGCAGCTTTCAAGCAGAACTGCTTGCTATAAGTCAGTGTGCAGAAATCAATCTCAACCGCAACTATCGCCACCAGTGTATCGCTATACTTTGCGATATTAACTAAAGGCGATTTCAGCTTTTGAGGTCAAATGGCTATTAGTGTAGGAGTGTATACGAAGGTTGAACAAGTGGTCGGTGGGTGTGCAACCGTGCACACCAAATCTGGGTACTGGTGCATAAATCGGTAACCGGCAATGAGCTGTTCGAAGTACTTGATCGCTCTGCGGCAGCGTCATGATGAAGAAGCAAGAACCATGGATTGCGGTGGGGTGCCACACTATAAAAGAGTCGTTCCGCACGGAGGAGAGAGTGTACAAAGAACGGCACTTGCAAACGGAGCACGCAGTAGGATTGCGCCACGCTAAGCTACGACTGGGAGGATACAACGTTGCAAGGTTTAAAGAAATTATCAACCACCCCCCAGACAAATTCCGCCTCCTTGTCGCGCTCTATACAGGACGCTGGAGGCTTAGAGAGCACTTGTCCAACATGGGCATAGTCTCTTGCGTAAACTGTCGGTTCTGTCGCATGGAACAGGAAACTCCATAAACTTGATTCCAGATTGTCCAGCAATTTGTAGAAGTAGGCTCAAGACCTTCGGTTCCATCTACGTGGACAGGGATCGCATCACATAAGTCGGAATCAGCAGGCTCCTGGAATTGTTCTGGATGCTGAACCTTTGTGACCATATGTGATATAGGGGAGGACACAATAGACCATAGGTAGCAGTGCAAAACCACAGTTTTACTATCTATAAAACATCAATTCATTTTGAATTAGATGGTCATTGGTGATGAAAAGGGTCGTGGTATATATGCGCTAAACCAGTATCATTTATTATGAGATGATGCAACTGCCCTGAGCTGCGACCTCGTCCGTAGCGTCGAGAGAAGCTTGTGAAAATCGACTGGTACAGTATTATATCGAAAATAAACGCAGATTGCCAAAGGTTGCATTATGAAGTTAACTTCCAAATGAATACCAGTAATTTTCAATTTAGAGCAGCGATTACTATCTCGAAGTAGGAAATTAAATTGCAATAATAAGCCGTTATAAGTAACTGGAACGAGCACGTTTTTTAATTCATGCCCAAAAGAATTTTTCTGCTGCTACAACAAAAATACCGATGACAAAAAATATTTCTGCAAAACGTCACAATTCACGTGTCAATAAATGCGCAAAATACTAAAATTCTACACCAAAAGATATTTAAAAAAAATATTCATCTTACGGTAACTCTCGTCAATACGCCCAACAATGACATTGCAATGCCATTGAAAACTAATTATTTCGAAAAAATTCTATTTTTCTCGACAAACTACATATATTTTTAAACAAATCTATTTTCGACTTAAGTGAATTTTCAATAAATCCACAAAATGGCACACGACACATGCCCGCTACTCAAAATACAGCCGAAGCAAGCCGCGTTAAAAATGAATATGCGAGGTGAATTTGCATTATTGGTGCAAATGATTTGCGACGCACAAAGCCAATATCACACAATGATGATTGATTATTAACCACTTGCAGGCAAGCAGAACGAGACAACAGAACAACAAAAACATAATTAGTTGAATAAAACAGTAAGTAAGAGAAAGTGAAAACTAATGGAAATAACTGGAAATAAATGCATTACAACTCACTTTTGCTTCAAAATCTCGAACCATTCATCAACAACTTGTGGTGGCGGAAAAGTGCCATCTTCGAATGCTAAATCCTTAACTGTGATGCCCTGAGCTTCGAGCTCGTCCGTATTATAGCTGGGCTCGCATACGCGCACCACAGTGCTCACGTTGTTCTTCTTGAGCTCCTGTAAAAGTGCGAAGATAGGAAAGAAAAGTTAATTACTGGAAATAATAAATAAAAAAAATAAGAAAATATGCTAAAGCGAAGCTAGAATACCATTTACAGTTTAAAGTCTTCATACAAGAGCTTGGTTTTAATTGTTAAATTTGAATGACAGCTATATGTTATACTGATTCGATTTGAAAATTTTTTTTCGGAGAGTTTAGCATTCCTTTGGACAATAACTTATGCTAAATTTCGTAAGGATTTCTCGTGAAATACAAAAGTTTTCCATACAAAGACTGATTTTTGAACGATCAGTTTATATGACAGCTATATGCTATATTGTTTTGATCGGCAAAAATTCTCAGGAGATTGCAGCCAAGTCTTGGACAATGACACATGCTAAATTTCGTGAGCATATCTCATAAAATAAAGAAGTTTTCCATACAAGCGCGGGATTTTGATCGATCAGTTTGTATGATAACTATATGCTATAGTGATTCGATCTGAAAAATTTCTTGGGAGATTGTAGCGTTGCCTCGGGCAATAATGCATGATAAATTTCGTGAGGATATCTCATCAAATAAAAAAGTTTTCCATACAAGGAATGGATTTTGAGCGATCAGTTTATATGACAGCTATATGGTATAATAATCCCATTTGGAAAATTTCTTCGGAGAGTGTAGCGTTGCCTTGGTCATCAATNCATTTGGAAAATTTCTTCGGAGAGTGTAGCGTTGCCTTGGTCATCAATGCATAACAAATTTCGTGAGGATATCTCATAAAATAAAGAAGTTTTCCATACAAGCGCGGGATTTTGATCGATCAGTTTGTATGACAGCTATATGCTATAGTGACTCGATAAAAAAATTTTTTTTGGGAGGACAATAATGAGTGCCAAAAATCAAAGTAGCAATGTATACTTACCGTTATATAATGATGGATGGTAACATCTGATGGCCGATCGGTGATTAGGAACTTCATGCCCTTAAACTCGATAAGAGCTGGTGCTGGGCGCAAATCCTTTTGACGCATGTTGCTCATTAATTTACGACTTTAACACAAATAATAAAATTTATTTATGCGTTCGTATGCAATATACAATAGGCTTGTATATAGTTGTGTACTTGTAGACAGGACAGTTGAGATTTTTGTGTTCTTCTCCTTTGTAGTTTTTTTGGTATTAAAGAAAATATTTTTTTGTTGCAGAAATACGTTGTTGTTTTAGCGCTCGCGCTCCACACTTTTACTCTTTATGCTCTGCGGCTGTCTTTTGCTTTCAAGCGCTGAGGTGTTTTGTTGTTTTTGTCTATGTGTTTCACTTGACTTTGTAGGATAAGTTCTACGGTTCTGCTGTTTTGTAAAATTTTACGCTTTGGCAGCTGCGCGTCGACTGTTTTTGTTACAAATTGCACAGTGATCACTCCAAAGTCTGTATATAAAGTGAAAACCTCTGTCACAAAACTGGACTGCAAATTTTATTTTATTCTCTTTGCTTGTTTTTGCTTTGCTTTCTTTTTGTTTGCTTTCAATAAATCGGAAGTTGTGTGTATAACACGTGCAGCAGTTTATGCTAATTAATTTTGCTGTTGGTTTTTTGTTTTTGTAAATATTTTGTATAAATATAATTTAAGTATTTAATGTGCAAATTGAAGCTTTTATACGGAAATCGTTTTGTAATTGGCGCAAAAATTTAAAATTAAGTACAATATTTTAGTAGTTTTTTTTTGTTTTTGGGAGTTAATGAGTTGTTGTTGGTATTTATATATTTTTAGCTTAAAAATTATCACAAAAAAGTAATTAGAAAAGAGTTTTTCAAAAATAGTTTTTCTTTGCAGCTTTCGCTTGCTTTTTTGTTGTTGTTTGTTTGCACAGAACCTGCCTGATTTTAAGCCGTTACGAAATCCCTGTTGGCTTTTTAGTTATTGTAGTTTAATTACTCTTTAATTGAACAGCAATTACTCTTTAATTGTACAACAATTTAATTTCGTAATAATTCTGTCAATTAATTAGCTCTTTTTCGTTGCTTTTTGCTTTCTTTAGCTTGGTTTGTTTTTTGTTTTAGCCAAAACCGAAATTGTATATACCAATTTTTCTGATATGCGCGCTTTTTGTAGTTGATCTCTCTCTCTCTTTCTTACTGCCTCAGCAAAGACTTGTTTGAAAATCCAATCAGTTTGTTTTTTTTTTTTTAAAGAAAATTCGAAAATTGTTTCTACGCTAAATTTCGCTCGCTTTCTCGTACCGCGCGCTATCACTGCTATCTCCTGTCTAACTGTCTCCCAACTGGACGCGCTTCCAACAAGTTCCAACTCTCGTCCTTTTTACGTTTCTTTCGCTGTTTTGCAAACTCTTTTCCCTGGAAAGAAAAGAAATTGTAAAGTTTTTCTTTAGATATGTTTTAGGAATTGATTTTTAAGATTACTGATTTATATTCAGAAGTCTATCGGTCACCGGTTCTGAAAACAGTGTTTTGATAATGTAAACTTTTGGAAACCGATTACACTCAGTTAAAAAGAAATCGTTGCAAATACTCTCATATCTACCGAACCATTTGTCGGAACAACTACACATTTTTGGAGAATGTTCTCAGTTGTATTAGCTATTTTGATTCGATTACATATTTTTTTGAAATTTACAAGTGAATATAACCCCTAACTGAAATAAAAAATTAATTTATTTCTTATATTTACAACATTAAAGTCAAAGTTAAGGGGGTATTCAGGTCTAAACCAAAAAAAAAAAAAAACAAAAAAAAAAAAAAAAAAAAAAATTAAATAAAATAAATTTTTCCGACAGTCACTGTTTTGACACAAATGGTTTTATCAAATGTTCCGTGGAACCAGACAATGCGATATTATTCTAGATAATTTTTTTTTTTCACCCACCTTCATCAGTTAAGTTTAGAAGTTTAGAAATGTTTATCTTTGTTTTTATTCTTTCAAGTATTATTGTAAAGTTAATAAATTACGAATAAAAAATTGGATAAAAATATTAATTTTCCCTTTCTACAAAACTTCTAATATTAGCTGAAATTACTGCCACTACAATAGAACAACCCCTGAAATTGGGTGACAATTAAATTAGATACTTATATTTTTTATATATTTTTTTTTTTTTTTGGAATTTGAAAATATAAAAATTTGCCTACTACCTACATAACCTATTATTAAAGTCAGCCTATATTCTATTTTACAGTCATAGTTTCAGCATTTTTGCAACTTCAATCGTTTATGCAGAGAGAAACCAGAACTGTCTGCTTTATGATAACAGAATTGCCCGAATATAATATTACACGAACAAGTACAGCTATTTTAGGGTACTAACCCTTTTTGAATTGATAAATATATAAAATAACTAATGCCGAGTGGAAACTGAAGAACGAGCGGTTGCCTGGAAAAGAAAGGAGAATAGGGGTTTAAGGAGAAATCAGTGCTTAACCAAGCCTCTGACAACCAACTGTTGACTGCGTCAAAATATTAAAGTATTTTCTGTGTGAAAATTTGCCAATAATTCAAGGGCGATTATATTAAGCTACTTTCGGTTTATTTTCCATATGAAGCGCTCTGCTATGTTGTATTTCTGAGCCTTTAGAATCCATCGGTACTAGTAGATGGATATTTAGGAAGGAATAAATTCAATGACTTCATAAATTCTAGTAGTTTCGAAAAAAAATCCCCGACCATAGGTTTTTTATTACCATATTGCTCGTATGTCAATCATAAATAATAAATAGTTAGTGAAAATAGAAAATGTGTGTCAAATCCAAAAATGAGAGAAAAAACTCTTTGGAAAGAAATTTTCAAGCTGCCAACCTTAAAGTAGAACTTAACTACTTCATATATACTCGATATTTTTGGAGTCTTGAAAGTGAATGACTATTTTGGAATAGCAGCTAAGCCTCCAACATACAATTTTTTATAAACTGATTTGGAACTTATGTATATTTTATTTTTGAAAGCGCTTGTGCCGAATTCAATGAATGTATTATTAACATCCAAGAATCAGAGAATTCGAATTTCGGCAGTGTAAAATCTATGCTCCAGCCGCAGTATGGAATATTCTATAGAACCATCTTCGACAGACAATACTGGCAGCCTTCAAATCGCTCAGGCGGTACCACTTCTACCGCAGTGTGGCGCTAAAGCATGGACGATGTCAAAAGGTAACAAGCCGGCGATTGGAGTGTTCAAGAGACGCGTTCTACGCAAGAATGCTTATACTTTATATGTTGGAAACGTCTATTATATAGGAGTTAGCTTGATCATGCTGTGAGGATGGATTATGTGCGACGGCAAGAAGGTTCTTCAAAGCTAGAGGCAATGGTAAAATAGCTTGAGGTAAACAATGTCTCCGGTAAAGTAACCATGTAGAAGAGAAGCAATGACGAAGCTTAATGTCTGATAGATGCGAGTGGAAGGCATTATTACGTCAGGCGGAAGCCGAATAGAATTTGATAAAACTAATTAAAAAAGAAAATTTGTAATTACGTTTTTTTTTTGTTTTTGTAAATTTCATCTAATTTTTGTATACACCTGTCACATCTAATAGAAAATCAACCACAGAATTGCTAAGAGCATATTACGGCGCCAAAGAGAAAATAATAAAGTGCGATTTTATGGCCACATGTCAATTGCTATTGCCGTACTTTTGAGGCGCACACGAGTAAGTATTTCCGTGCCATTTAAATACGATATTCATCAAAAGTATACTAAACGCTGTGGTAGCTCGTGTGTAAAGCTATAAAATCATTTCAATATTTTTGAGCAAAAACAACAAAAGACGTGGTTATGCGGTTGAAAATAAAATAAAACAAACATCACGGCTGTCCGTTGAACAATATTATTTAATGAATGTAGGGTGATTATAGTTTTTGGTGTAAATAAATTACGAGCTTAAATACAGCACAATAAAAATAGCACGCGGAGACGCTGCGGGAAAATATATATTATTTATGGCGGAATGTGAAAATTATGAATTATGAAAATCGACAGCCATAAAATAATATATTGCTATACATAATATATAGCTGTTTTTATGTATACGTATATATGTATGTACGCATATACTGCATCCTACTGTTGCTCGCTACAATTCACGCCTTTGTGATTATTTCAAAATAATCGTTTTGGCAAGCATAGCGAAATTTATGCACATATATGTATTTACATATTAGGTAAGAGCAAGCAATAAACAATATATAATATAAATGCACTTAAACCGTTGTAGATGTCAAAGTTAATTTTGTCGCTCTTGTCTGAAGGCATTTTCCACAGTGTGCTTTTGTTCGCTTGGTTGCCTTTGTTTTCTGCCCAATTTGTCTTTTGGCGGCACAACCCCCACACTACATTATGTACTAGATACTTTAGTATATATCTTTAAATAGTCTGTATATTTATGTTCACTAAATGTTGACTTACTTGTGCTTTAGCACACCTTTTTAGCATGAAATTTCTCTCGAAATGTCTTACTGTTCTTTTCTTAGCTTTCACTTAGTATTTCTTTGTATTTATTTTTAAACAGAAAATGCCTTTTGAGTTGATGCAATGCGCATTTCGTGGTGTTTGCCACAATTATAGATACTTAGCGCTTAGTATTCCTATAAAAAAAAAAAAAACAATTCTATACCTATAGACAAATTTAATCCACACTTTTTGGTAGATTGGTTATAACTTACATTAAAGAAAAATTTCCAGTTATTTCTTTCTACGCTAGTAATAACAGTATAAGAAAAAACGAATTTTTTCGGGTTTTGGACGAAACCATTTGTATACCCTGAACAGGATATATTAAGTTTGTTACGAAGTTTGTAACACCCAGAATGAAGCGTCGGAGACCCTATAGAGATGGGATTAAAAATTAGATTTTAATTTTTTAATCCCGCAAACGCGATAAGGTGTTAATTGAAAAAAATAATAACGATAACTCAATTGTTTTTTATGCATTATTTGCATCACTGATGATTATAGAATATGTACATAATTAAAAAGAAATATTCTACATATACCGATAAATTTTGCATCCGTTGTTGTTCTGCCAGGCTGCCCATACAGCGGTGGAAACTTTCTGCGGACTATTGGGACATTAATATCCGGCCATATAGAATTATTTTCATTAATAAAAATATCCCTCTAATTTTTACCAGAGGCCCATTAATATATCCATCAATAGCCTCTAAACAATAAGGCACTGCAATTACAGTTTCCAACATGTAGTCAACAGCCAACTATAAAAAAGTAAGCAACTAAGTCTTTCAAGAGTAGTTCCGCTCTATTGTTGGCGCATATGCAACACTTCCGGTACGCAAACATAAGTGCAACAACATACTTCCGCAGATGGGCACGCTTTTCACGCCACCTTTACCAACTAAGAAGAAACAATTCTAACGATAGCAACCAAAATTACCACTCTGCCACAAATCTTTGCCATGTGCCACAAACAAAATGATCAGTATGTTGAGCTGAGTCGATCTGAGTTGAGTCTGTCTGTATATATACGAACTTGTCGCTCAGTTTTTAAAATATCGTTTTAAAATTTCGCAAACGTCATTTTCTCTTCAAGAAGCTGCTCATTTGTCGAAACTGTATAACATATAGCTGCCATACAAACTGAACGATCGGAATCAATTTCTTGTTTGGAAAACTTTCACATTTGACAACATATATTCACGAAATTTGGTATAGAGTATTTTCTAAGACAACAATGTAATCTCCGAAAAAATTGTTCAGATCGGCTCACTATAGCCTATAGCTGCTATACAAACTGAACACATAGTTACTAGAAGCAATGCACCTGTGAAGGGTATATTAGCTTCGATGCAGCCGAATTTTACGTTTTTTTAATTAAGAAACCAAAGTTCTCTGAGTCGAATAGCAACTTTCGCGGCCATATCCTTCTTGCAATATCTATGCGCATTATATGCAGAATGGCATTAAGTATGAAATTTTCCAAAAATCAATTTTTTTTTGTTGCATTATGGGTTAGTATACAGTGCAATAAATATTCCGTCAAATTTGAAAATCGAAATTCAAAATTTTACGGTCGCTACAGCGTGTCTTGTAGAAGGGAAACAGAGTGAGGAAAAGAGCGACTCCAATCTTTGAACGCGTTATTCTCAGAATGGTGTTTTTCAAAACGGTTTCCATTCTCAAAAGATGAGTTTTGAAGATATCTAGTTCCAATTTGGAGAGAAAATTTTTCACGTTATTCTCTATCGCGCTATGGGCGGTTTCGAAAATAAGTCAACAAAAATATAAAAAAAAATGCTTCTATATCGCGATAGTGACTTTCTTATAGATTAATAATGTTTTTGAGATTTTTGTTTAAGACCAAAATTGCGGCCGCATTCGTGGATTTCAA